ATCAGCACGGGCTTTCCCAGATGTACAGCATTTAAGGGGTATTGGTACCTTGAGATAAAAATAAGGACCCTCCCCAGGTTGTTTATATTTCTTTTTTTCCAGGACCTTGTTAATACTAATGAGAAGCTTTGTGACTGGAGGTGGGTGAAGGACGAGGGAATATGCCCTTTCCTTTGGGGACACCGAACCTAGAAAAAGACACATTTCACCCCAACACACACTGCCAACACATGCACACACACACACAAACTTTACAACCTATTTACATGTTACGTGTGGCATGTAACATGTGGCATGTGTGTCTCTTGCCCTCCTCCAACCTCTGCGCCTTAGCAGACATTATGAGTAGATCACAGCACTAATCACCACTAAGCCCAGTTCTGGAATCAATGATGTGCTGATGCAGCTAGCACTCACTCACGAGGGCCAACAGGGTTTTTTGTTTTATTTTTGTTTGTTTGTTTTGCTAGCCAGTTGTTAAATATATTGATTAAAAGTTTATTTGTGAGGTTATACTTAAATGAATTATATCAAAATATAATGGCTCCCCCAAATTTTTTATTCTCTTTTTATTTTACAATTATTTATCATCCCAAGGTTGATTACTTTCATATAACTGAAAGTCTATAAACTAGTGTGTGCATATGTGTTCCCAACCTTGTGTTCAGAGATAAGTGGTCTGAAATAAGAAACAACGCCTGTACGGCAGTGTTTAAATCACGGAACAGGAAAAACTCAATACCTTTCCATAGCCTTTGCGCCCTAGTATGAGCCAGTTAAATATTCACCAGCACACGGCTGTATCCAACAACCCCAGAGAGAACATCCAACAAACAGGTCCCTGCTGGCTGTGATAGAGGCCCAAATACAAATACAAATGTGATTTAAATTTTATTTTAAAATAAAATTTTATTAATTATTTGTGAGTTTCACATCATGCACCCTGGCCCTACTCATCTTCCCATCCCTTCATATCTGCCCTCTGTCCTCGAAACCTACTTCCCCAAAAGGAAATTTAAAAACAACAAAAATAGATAAGAAAACAAATCAAAGCATAGAAAACATCTCATTATGGAAGCTGCAGTGTGTCCCAGTGTGTCCCATAGTATGCCTTTTTGTTCACACATCTTTACTCGCAAATGTTCATTGCAGTAAGTGGTTGGTTGGTCTGTTTTCAGGCCCTGCTACACCATCAATCCTGGATCCCCACAGGGGCCCCTCTTGGAAATCCTGTCATTGCCCTGTGTCATGGAGATCCTGCGGCTTTGAATCTGCAGGACCTGTCCCTTCGTACACTCCAGTAGTTTATAGATGAGGTAGATGTTGGCGTGGGCCTGGGTGGTAGCCTCGTTGGTCAGCCCTCCCGCTCTCCCACACCCACACCAGCAGGGGCAGCTCTCAGCACTGCCCGGCTAGCTCGCCCCATGCTGCAGCGGGCAGGGGCAGGATCAGCTCAGGATAGATCTCATGCCCTCAGGGCTGGCTCACTGGCACTCACACCACCAGAGCCAGCTCCACTGTGCTGCCCAGTCAAGGCCAGGGCTGCAGCTGGTGAGGGACAATGCCAGCTCTCCTGCCCTAGTGACCTCGGGGCCAGCTCTCCCAACTACCAAAGGCAGTGAGGTGAGGGATGAGGAGGGGAGAGCATCTCTCATTCTCTCTCTCTCTCTCTCTCTCTCTCTCCTTCCTGAGGCAGATGGCTGCCTCAAGCTCCTGTCTCCATGACTTTCTGCTCACGGGAGACCACATCTCAAATAGCCCCAAATGAACCCTTCCTTCCTTGATCTGTTTCCTTGGGTATTTGTTACAATAACAAGACAGGAGCTAATACAGACAGACAAACTCTTTTCACTTTTTTCCAACTGCCTTATTTAGAGGTCCTGTATGAACTGCTCAGGCACGGGCTGTGAGATGGTACATCAGGTGACTTGGTACCAAACCTGGCAATCCAACTTCAATCCCCAGGACAAAATCTCTCTCTTTCTTTCTCTCTCTTTCTCACACACAAGCAGGAGAGAGAAATGAGATAAGAAATTTAACTTCTCAGGCAAAATCTATACTATTACAATATGCATGGCATCAGTGATGAACATGTTCAGTGGGGGAGGGCGTGGCAATTCCTCTTGTGAATAAAAGAGTGAGAGGCTTGTCCGGGATCAGACAGCACTCAGACTGGGGGCCAGTCTTCATAGCCAGTCTTCTGTCATTGCAGGAATTTCACATCTAGCATCCCATGTCAATTTCTCCCGAATTCTCTCCACTCCTCCTGTGTCTCCAGCCCATTCAATACGTCCAAGATGTTCCCACAACACCTGTACATGTCAGCTATGGAAATGTGAGGCCATCTACACACAAACTGGGTCTCTCAGAGGCAAACGGAGTTGCCGCCCAGCCCAAGTCTGTCTCCTCTGTAGTCAGAGAACTCTTTCTCGACTGCCTTATTTACTGGCAGACCCCTGTCACCAGAATCATCTCCCACTTGTGCACTCTATCGGGAACCAAGAAAAACGAAACAAAACAAACAGCAACTACAAAAACCTTTCTATTAGGAAAGCTCTTCACAAAGCTTTCCAAGACATTGCTTTGTAAGACTTTCTTCGGATACAGCCTGACCTTGCAAAGGGGGACACACTATAAATGATACCAGGAGATGGCCCAGTCCACCATCCAGGGGTGGTTGCCCTGCCTTGCTGAACCTGACCTTTCCCACCCATCCCCACTACCCCCAGGTACTAGTCTGACTACAGCAGGTGAAGAAGTGAGAGGGACAAAGACAGCATCATCTCTCACCCGTCCCCCATGGAGGTAAGCATTGAGAGCTCATAAATTCATCTCCTCCCCATCAACTCGGATTTTATGCCATCAGTGCTCAGATTTTCTCTCTCTCAAGTGCCCCTCAGCCTCTCTCTCAAGTGGCAGCGGAAGAGCTCAAGCAAGCTGTGCTTCCAAGAAGTCATGAGGTGCAGGCAGAGGACTGCTTGTTTGGTGTTCAGGATTCTAGTCTGGCTGGTTGGCTGGAGTTCATTTCACACACACACACACACACACACACACACACACACACACACACCCTGCTGACTCCAGCTCTCAGCCAGCTAACAGCAGCAGGGAGGTGAGGCATTCCAAAGGGATGGTAAACAATGAGCTCACAGCCCCAAGTAGCCCAGCCCTCCGTAGCCCAGCCCTCCGCAGCCCAGCCAAGAACACGGTGTCAGTGATGAAAGAAGCAGGGAGGCAACTCTGGGTCAAGGAATGAGGTTGGTAGGCAGGCAGGGACCAGAGGGTGGGAGAGCCATTTAGCGTGGCCTCTTAGGGACAAAGAAGCTCACACACAACCAGCTTGCTCTCCACCCTGGGTTTGACTCTCTAGCACCTGGTACAGGAACCAATTGTAACCAATAAATATAACCCAGCTGCAGACCCCAGCTGACTGCAACTCCAGACCCTAACACCTAGAAGACAGAGCTCTCGGTGTGTCTGTGAGTGAGCTTCTAGACTGAGCAGGCTGCATGGTTCCATGGGGGCAGGGTCTCAGACTGAGTAAGAGGAAGAGGTGAGCCCAGCACCAAATTTATCTCTCTGCTTCCTGATTCTGGATGCAGTGGGACCAGCTGCCTCCCTCTGCTGCCACCATGCCTTCCTCACTGTCATGGACTGTCCCCTCAAACTGTGAGCCAAAACAACCCTTCCTTCTCCAAGTAGCTACTTAGGATGTTTTGTCACAACAATGAAAAGGGTCATTAATACAACCATAAACAGACTTTCCTGTACCAACATGGCAGCCACAGAGCCAAGACCCACAGACAATGGGCTGACTTTGTAATTAGCCAGGCAGATTTTCAGGAAATTTTCCCGTATGTTTTCCATTAGGTGTGGGGTGCAGATCATTTTCCCAGGTTCTGATATTTAAAAGCTGTCTTAGTTAGGGTTCTCATTGCTGTGATGAAACACCATGACCAAAAGCAGGTTAGGGAGGAAAGTGTTTATTCAGCTTACCCTTCCACATCACTGTTCATCATCAAAGGAAGCCAGGACAGGAACTCAAACAGGGCAGGGACCTGCAGACAGGAGCTGATGCAGAGGCCATGGAGGAGTGCTGCTTACTGGCTTGTTCCCCATAGCTTGCTCAGCCTGCTTTCTTATAGAACCCAGGGCCACCAGCCTAGGGAAGGCCCCACCCACCAGTGCTGAGCCCTCCCCCATCAATCACTAATTGAGAAAATGCCTTACAGCTGAGTAGACATTTTCTCAATTGAGGTTCCCTCCTTTCAGGTGACTTTAGCTTGTGTTAAGCTGGTATAAAACTAGCCAGGACAAAAGGCCTTCCAGACTCTCCAGAGCTGTCAAATAAGACTAAAAGCAGAGGCTGCAGCTGGGTGCCATGGTGTGGACCCTTGACCCAGCTCATAGAAGACAGAGCCAGGAGGATAGACTTTGAGAGCAACTTAGTTTACAGAGCAAGACCCTATCTCTAAAGACACAAGGAAACAAGCAAACAAACATTAAATAACGCTGTTGTCATATATTTAAAAATGCACCACGCATATGACAGACTTGATATGAAAGATATTTATTTGGGGGAAGGGAAGCAGAAGAGAGTTAGGGCCTGAGTGAGCCATGAGGGCAGAGGTAGAGAGAGACAGAGGGACAGAAAGAAAAGCAGAGAGAGCAAGAGAGGAGACCAGGAGAGAGAGGTAAGAGGCAGGGATCCTTTTATCCCAGCCCCCTGTGAGTGGCGACCAATGATGACATCACAGGTACCCAAGCAACCTAGACTAGTGCTTAACAGCTGCAGCTCAGGGTCCTGCGATATAGCTCATTTGGTAGAGTGCTTGTGTAACACGCCCTAAGTTCCATCCTCACCTGGTACCGCAGAGTGCTTCACACATGAAATCAAATGTTGTCCTCAACCACGTAGCATGTTCAAAGTAACTCTGGGCTGGGAACCCTGGCTTCCAGAAACCCACTACAAAGGGCTCGGTGGCTCTTGTATAGGCAAGCCCAATCTATCTCACTGGCCAGGTGGTTGCAAACCTCACTGAAGAAAGCTGCACTGGGGTGGCCGGGAGCTCTGGACTTTAACCTACAGATTGCACCACATTTGTCTTGGCATGAGTCAAAACACAGGCCCTCAGGCCACACTAGAAGTAAGAGAGTTGTGCCAGCTGAGGTAAGGTGCAGGAGGTCCTCAGAAGCAGGTGGGCAGAGGAGGGGACAGCCATCGATGCTCAGATGTGTCGTCCATCTGCTGGTGGGCCTCGCTGGCAGGAAGCAGTGGCTCTAGCTTCCTGGATGTCCCTGCGGCATTTTCCTCCGGCAGTTGTGGGCCGGTGACTAGCTCCGCAGCCATGTGCCTCAACGTTCTCAGGATGCCTGTTCCAACCGAAGAGGCAACTGGAGTTAACATGAGTTTAGTCTACCATCATGGGACTCTACTTTGGGCTTTTAGGTATCCCTACGGTGTATCCATCTGTCCTTCCCAAAAGTCCACCCTGCAGGTGGAAGGCCAGGAAGGCAGCTTTATTCTCAGCTATTCAGTGGGCTAGCCGGATGTTTCAAGGATTCTTTCCTTTGGGGAGACAGAAAACATCCTCCAGCCCTTCCTCAAAACTTCCCAGTGACAAACTAAAGTAGGAGTCCACCACTATTCACCCTGTTTATTAGGCTTACTTATGGGGTGGGAGGTGCTGGCAGCAGTGTAGCCGACCCTACAACTGCTGGGAAAAGATTTCACGCAGTGTGAATGATGACACCCCCAAGCTGTACCGATGGAGCCCCCCTCCCTTCCTAGCCTGTGTCCTGTAGCATCTCCTAAGATCCAGAGGGCGGTGCAGTCAAGGAAGAACTGCGAATAAATGGTTGGGAGGAGGGGCTAGAATCCCAGGTGAAGGTAAAAGACCCTTTACACCCTCTCTTTTGTGGGAACTGTCAACTGTTGCAGGATATTTGATCCCATTGCTAACCCCCCCTGCCCCCATTGTGAACTGTAAAAAACTTGTCTTTTGTTTGGTGTGGTTCAGCCCTATCACACACCTTTAACTCAAGAACGTTCTGTTTATTGTAAACAGGTGATTATGGTGTGGCTCTAACACACACCTTTAATCTTAGAACTTTCTGTACACAGGAGTTAATAAAGTTAACCTAGGTCAAGAGTCGGAGCAATTAACAGAAAGGAGGGACTTTGAGAGAAGAGTTTTTAAGGCGGGTGGAGAAGAAGGAGCTTTTGGTCTTTGGTCTTTAGCTTTAGGCTTTTTCCTCCTGGGCTGTCAGGTGAGTTAGCAAGCTTTTTCCTTCTGTGAACTGAGTAGGAAGGTCGTCTGGGTACTTTCTCTGCCTCTGTAAGCTAGAATATTTCCACCCCAGCATCTAGCTCCTGAATCTTCACTGGTAAAATCACATGGTTTTGGATTTTTGGGGTTTTTTTGTTGTTGTTGTTGTTTTTGTTGTTTTGTTTTATAAAAAAAAAAAAAAAAAAAACCAAAACAGAAAAACCAACTATGATGGAGTCTTTCAAGCAGGCACAGCCTGTCCGATAAAAATGGCAGCTATTTGCTCAAGAGACCACGTTCTACAGCATCAGTGGTACATACCAGAGACTTCTATGAGTCATGAAGAACAGTGACTCTTGGACCTCTCATAATCCCTGAGTGATGTGGGGATGATCTGTCTGTGACATCTGCCACCCCACTGAGCACTAGGGTCAACCCACCTCATCTGGCTGGCTGGGCAGGTGTCCACTTCTTTCCTCACCACTCAGGGTTTTATCATCATCATCTTCATTACCGCTAATTCTGTGTATGAGAGGAAACAAGAGGGAGAGAAAAGAGATTAGGAGGTCTAAAGAAAGGATTTGCTTCCAACAGTTGCTGAGACAAAGTGTCACAGCCTTGGGAGCCTAAACAGATGTTACTCCCCAGTGGTGACACCAAAAGTCTAGAAGGGTTGGAGAGAGTCTGTTTCATGTCACCCCTATCCTCTGGGGCTAGGGTGGCCATCTGACATCTTGCCTACAAATATATGACTCACCTCAGTCTTGGCCTTCATCTTACAAAGATTCTCCCCATGCTACCTCTCTGCCCCAGTTGTTCCCTCTGTAAAGACACCTCATATCGGACTAAATCCTCCTGACACCATTTTGTCTGATCATCCAAAGGTGTGTGTTTCCTGTGAAGGTCCCATCCCAGGTCTGGAGGAAGAAGTAAGTGCTCAATATCTAAAAGGAGTAGACTCAAGCCATCTCAGAAACAAAGAGAGGGGGAGGACAGACGCTGACCTCCCAACCGATGATGGAGAAAAGCGGCAGGGGAACCAAGTCACAGGCCCTAGCGCCACCAAGAGCTCAGGCAGGGCAGCCCTGAGGTGCAGGACGGTGAGAGGCCCCAGTCTCCTGTTTCTGGGGCAAGGAGGAACAGGAGAGTGGAAGGATTGTGTTCTGTATTTGTGGGATCCATGGCTTGCTTGGTTTTAACTCTGGAGGACAGTGAAAGGAAGATACTTGGTTCTACTTTTAGGAGCCCCTGAAAGGAGGACTCTGGCTTTAAGAGAACAGAAGCCATGGCCAGGCTACGGACTGAAGGCACACTGCTGGTGTCTGGAGATTAAAGGAGGGTCAGGCCAGGAGGAGGTGACAATACCCTACAAGCCAGGAGTCAGGAGCAGGCAGAGCAGAGATGGCTGTGCCTTGGAGCCTACGATTCAGAAAGTTTCCTGCCCCCTCTAGTCTAGAGTGATGCTGAGAAGCAGGGACCTTGGGACTCCTTTAACACTGCAGTGAAGTCTTGGGGGGGGGGCTTCAGGGATCCATTATAGTGAACGCCCCAGGAATCTAGAGGACCCTGAGCCTGGGGTAGGATGACTACGTTCTTTGGTGGCAGACACACCAGTGTTGCAGCCCTGCGCACCCACAGAGGTGTGAAGCAGGTACAAGCATTTCTGACTTCACTGTCTTTTTTTGAAGGACCTAGGGGTCCAGCCTTAAAATGACATCCCATGATTATGGGTTGTATGGAACCATACCAAGCTGATCCCAACCCCAGAGTGAGAAAAGATGCTCAGACATCATACCACCCAGTTTGTAGTGGACATACAGCTGTCTCCACATCCATTCACCAAATCTCTGTGGACCAAGTTTTCTACATAGATGTAGGTTTGGTCACTGGAAAAACAGCCAGGAACAAGCCAACCGCTGGCTTTGATGAGTGGGCATCTTATGCAGGTGCTGAAAACACCAGACATTCCAAAGGCCTGAATATTTAAGGTGTCAGGTGTTGAGAAGAGCTATATCCCCAGAGAAAGCAGGAAGGAGACTGGAGAATTCTGTGCACAGGCAGAGGGGATGTGGATGCAGAAAAGAGGGTTCTGGGAAGCCCTGGTATATAAATAACAGGAACCATGGAGATGGGACCGTGAACTACACAGGTGGGCTGCCCAGGAAAGAGACCACATAGCTGTTTGGCTAAGGGGGCAGGTAAAGCCTGGGCTGAGAAGCTCAATGAGCTTGAAGTGGGCATCACAGGAGAGGCGTGAACGAACACTCTGTCCCAGGACATGGAGATGCTGCCCTCTGAGCTTCCTGATTTGAAACCTTTGGTAGCAACATCCTTGTTAACTTCAACATTCTCAGAAATTCTGTGCTGCATGCCTCATGGTCCTGACCTCTCGGACTTGAAAGACATTCAAGCTTTCCTGCCCCCCCCCCCCACCGACATTCTCAGATTGGAGACTTGGAGGCCAAGATCAAACCACACATTCTGAAATGTGGGCCCTGGGTCAGCACTGAGCTATTGACAGAACATCTACATATATACTATTGTGTCAGAGAGGGGGAATGTGTGTGTGTGTGTGTGTGTGTGTGTGTGTGTGTGTGTGAGAGAGAGAGAGAGAGAGAGAGAGAGAGAAAAAGAGAAACAGAGAGAGAAGCAATTGGATCAAAAGTAGAAACATTTTACTTGAAAATTTAAAGCTCACATTCTAAGGTCAAAATCAAAACAGAAAATAATTATCAAATTCACTTATCCCCAGTGGCAATTTTACCCACATCACTCCTACATTCATCGAAAGAAATGCAGCTCACAGCAATGATCAGCTGTTCTTCACCAAACATGGAAGCCAGAACCCACAGTCGCTCAGTGTTCTTCATCTCTGACCTAACCTGGACTCATCTGAAGAGAGGATCTCTGTGAGAAACTGTCTTATGTCTGGGAATGTCTGTGGGAGATTGTCTTAATTCATTGATATCGAAAGACCCAGCCCACCGTGGGGAGCACTATTCCCTAGTCATTTAGCACAGGCAAGCCAGCATGTGTGTGTTCACTTCTTTCTTTTTCTCCTCCTCCCCCTCTTCCTTCCCCTCCTCCTTTTTCTTTGTTTTTTTGAGATAGGGTTTCTCTGTGTAGCCTTGCCCAGCCTGGACTCACTTTGTAGGCCAGGCTGGCCTCAAACTCACAAAGATCCACCTGCCTCTGCCACCCTGAGTGCTGAGATTAAAGGCGGTGCCACCACACCTGGCCACTTCTCTCTGCTTGACTGTGGGTGTAATGTGTCTATTTGAAATTCTTGCCTTGACTTCCCCACTATGGTGGACTATTACCTAGAACATTAAAAAAACCAAAAACAAACAAACAAAAAAACCCTTTCTTACCTAAGCTGCTTTCCATCGAGCTATTTTGTTACAGGAATAGAAATGAGACTAGAGCCATGCCCTTCTGCTGTTGTCTGCACATGCTCTTGGTGACCTCAGATCTCAGATTCACTCACTATCTACATGTGGCTGGATATGACATCATAGCTGCAAGCCTGGCCTCTCTGCTAGCATCCAGGAAACTGAGTGGGCATATATCCCACAGCCAACGCTTTATCTTCCCGTGGCTGTTGGCTGACATTGCCAGTGTCACATGTTCCGAGGTACGCCATTGCTAATTTACCTCCTCCCACCTGCTCCCTGCCTTCCTCACTCGGTTGATGGTGACTTCAGTCTTACAACTTCTCGTGGAGCTGTTCCATGACTCTTCTCTCTCACACATACCAGCTTTATTAGCACAGCCTATTGTTTCTCTCTTAAAACCCATCTGTTGCCACTCAGTTCTCATCACCTCTGATGAGATGAAGATCTCTGCTGATGTCACTTTGAGCTTCACCAATGATCCATTTCTTTGCTTCTGCCCTTTACAATCTCAACCCAACAGGAATCGGAATTCAGTTAACACCCAAGGCAGAGGTCTGTCTTCTGTCCACAGGTCTCTCTAAAGGCTCTCATCCCACTCGGAGGAAAAACCAAGGTCCCTTCCCTGCCCCATTGAGATTCCTTCACCATTCCCCACCCCTGTGCTATCACCTTCTGTAGTGACCCACCTCGCGTCACTCCACTTCCCATCTTGCTTCACCTCCACTACGCTTCAAGTATTGCCTCCCCTCTGACCATGCGCCGCCTCCTGTTGTGCTCTGGCTCCAACCATGCCCCATCTCCCATTGTGCTTCCTCTCCCTTCATGGCTCCATCACAGCACTCTTGACCTGCTCTGCTCTGGCTGCACCGGCTCTTTGCTGCTCTGCACACCAGGCCTACTCCTTTCACCTCTGTTATTCCTTCTGCCCGGCTTCCTCCTTACACAGAGTCTAGGAAAAGCGCCCTGCCACTTAGGGTTGATTTTTAGCCCCTAGCCTGTATTCCCCAGTTCCCATCTCTGCTTCATGTTTTCCCCCTGACCCTTGACCCTGTGCGTACATGAGAGGATCATCTCTCCAGCTTCCTCATTGTCATGTGAGCACCATGAGGTCCTAGCTTGACTTTCTCTGCTGTACTCCTGATCCAGAGGACAGTTTGAGGCATGCAGTAGCTGCTCACGACTGTGTGTGAGCTGAATGGAGTTTGGAGACTGAGAGAGTTTGAAGCATACCAAGCCTCCATCAGCCTCCAGGTTCCTCTGTGGGAAACAGGTGGCAAGACTTACGAGGCCTCCCCCAACCTCTCACTTTTAGAAAGGGAAGGCCAGCAGGCCCCAGCAAGGAGCACAACAGAGCCTGGCGGACTGCCTTGGGAGACTGAAGGTGCTGACAGAGAGCTGGCTCCTGGCGTCTGTGTCACCTTGGCAGCCTGTCTGAACCAGGAGAGAATTCTCCCTCCTGCTCCTCTTGGTGGGGAGAGGATACCTCCCTAGAAATGAGGCTCAAGTCTGAACTCCTGGGAGACTGCTGTTTTGAACTGGCTCTTGGGGTGACGCTGCGGGTTGTGCAAGCCTTGAACAGTGGGGGCACTAGGACCAGGAGCGAGATGCATGCTTGGCTCCCTTGTATCTGGCAGAGGGTTGCTGGAGCCGTTTGAAAGGAAACCAACTGGGCAGTGCCTGCCGGCTTTACATCTGTTGATCTGACCTGACTCAAGGCATCCAAAGGAGGATGTCTGTCATCTTGGCTTGACCGAACCCCCAACAGCTCTCCCCAGACATCCTGTAGAGCATGCAGAGGGGGAAGAAACATGGGACTAACCACCAGAACAGAATGGACAAGAGCAGGGTGAGAGAGAAGCAAACAACACACCCGGAGACCCTTTGCAGAAGACAATTAACAAAATCCTCTCAGAGGGGACCCAGGGAGGTCCCAGGCTCCTGTGGCTTTCTGATGCCAAGGGGCAGTGGGTCTCACAAACACTGTTAGCAAATGTCAGGTGGAGTGAAAGGAGCAGGTGACTGGCAAAAAGCCTTTCAGCTGGAACGAACAGCCCAGGTTCAATTACAAGCCTGAAGGTGCCTGGAGCGCAAGGAGGAAGCAAGCTTGCACAGGACCTGTTGCTTTGGGCAAGTGGCTGCGACATGCTCCTGAGGAAGAGAGCCAGGAGCGGACGCTGTAGGCTTCAGTTCCTCCTGCCCTTCCTGACGCTGGGCTGTGTCCTGATGATGGTGACCATGCTGCAGCCTCCCCCGCCCACCCTGCACCAGGCTGTCACAGCCCAGGCCAGCAAACGCAGTCCTGACACTGGGTATCGCCTGGACTTCGGGGACTCTCAGGAATGGGTTCTGGAGGCGGAGGGTGAGGAGTACAATTTCTTGGACAGTCTGCCGCCTTTCATCTCCCTGCAGGAGGATCAATTGCTGGTGGCAGTGGCCTCACCCAGAGCTAGGAGGAATCAGAGCCAGGGCAGGAGACGGGGCAGCTACCAGTTCATCAAGCCCTCGAGCAGGAGGCGGGATGAGGAGGCCCCCGAGAGGGATTGGAGGACTGAAGAAGATGGGGAGGAATCAGAAGAGGTGCTGACCCCCCTCAGCTGGGATTCGGATGGCCTCAACAAGGCGGTCGATGCCCGCCTGCCCCTGAGGAGAGCCCTGCCTGAGGTCCGGCACCCACTGTAAGTAGCCCTGCTCTCCCTTCCCTGGTCTAAGTGTGTGACTCAGTGGCAGTGAGGCCCCAGGCACCGACTCTCTGTAATCTGCCTCTCCCATCCTCGGGACAGTGCTTGCTTGAGATGTGGTAGCCGGGGCCGTTCTCAAATCCCATCTCAGACCTGCTCATTAGAAGCCCCAGATCCACGGATCTGCCAATAACAAACCCCACGGGAGAGAAGATCTCACCAGCTCATTCTCTTGTCAGTCCCGGGTTCTAATCCTCCCGTTAGTCCCCCCAGGTCACACTGCTTAAATAGGGAGATGGGAGCAGAAGTTCTTTAAAACACCTTCCGTCTCTCACGCTGACGCCAACACACGGTTCACATCGCTTTTTTATTACTGTTTACTTTTCTGTGGGATCAAAAAATCGACTGCAAACATTGCAAGAAATGCTCATGTACTTCTTGCCACGTGCCTGGCTTTAATCTAGAGCTTTCCGTGTGCAGCCCCTAAAGCCCTAGAGAGTCCTCTTGCACTGTGATGGCGTTAGCCTCGTGCCTGGTTTGTATAGTTGACAGTAAGGCACAGAAAGGCCCGGGGGCTTGCCTGCTGTCACACAGCTAAAAAGCACCAAAGTAGGAATGTGAATTCAGGCATTTAAACCCCAGTTGAGCCTGAAGCTCCACCTTCGCCACCCTCCCAAGTCCCTAAAAGAAAGGAACGGTCCCGACCCCTGAGGGTTCATGTATGGTGGTGACTACAGCTCAGCCTGCAAGGTCCCCACCCCAGGAGGAAACTGGGAGGCATATGTGCCATGTGGACCTGTGTCTGGGCAGGGCGGCTCATTCTCTAGCCCCTGGTCCTCTCCCACCATGGACAGCCGCAGAGACGGCCAGGAGACTGTTTGCCCAAATCCAGAAGCAGTGTGGCTGGATGGCTTGAGGGGCCCAGGGCCCTGCCCTGGAAGCCGTAGCTCTTTTCAAAGCCTTGAGCTTTCTGGGAAGTAAATTATCTCCTACCCCTAAAAGAAAACATTCACACAGCCATGACTCTGTGGACGGCTGATCCCGCGCAGCCTGGCACAGGCCCCGTGCGCAGACCACCGGAGAGTGCAGACTCCTGAGGTCCGTCCTGGAGCACTCCCCTGCCCACAGTCCCAGTTCTGCCCGGGGAACTCCTACCCCACTCCAGTCTCAGGATCTCTTTGCACTCACAGTACCTCGTAGAGCAGGTGCTAAATGGCCATCGGCGTGTTCATTTGTGCAGTGCAGTGCGTGCTGAGTCTGCCGGTCAGGACCGCGTGCGTGCGTGCGCACTGCACATCCCAGCATCCAGCACACCCCACCCTGTACAGACAGGACCGCTGGATGAAGGAACAGCTCTTCCCTGCCTTCCATGCACCTTTTCATTGGCTGAGAGCAAAAGTGAACATTCTGTAAACAAGAAACACTGGCTCCGGCTTTGGGGGTGTGTGTGTGTGTGTGTGTGTGTGTGCGCGCGCGCGATACTGTGTCTCCGAAGTGCAGACTTGCACTGTGTGTTGAGTGTCCATTGTGCTGTGGGTATTAAACACATGTGTGTTGTGTGTCGTGCGCGTAGATAGCAGTTTGAGATTTGGTGTGTGCAGGTGGTGTGTGGGATGACGGGCACAGGTGTGATTGGCATGATGTCACGTGTGGATGCATGCCGTGGATGCGTGCAGTACATACACGTACGGAGTGTAGCTCTTGTGGTATGTATTATGTGGAACTGGGTGTTATGATGTGTACTTGCTTTGTACGTGTTTGTGTGCGTGTGTGTGTAACGTGCTGCGACAGTGTCCCGTGTGTATTCCGTGCCCTGTGTGTTATTATTTGTGCTGTAACTACTGCGCGCGTCACACGTTCCCTGTATGTGAAGCATGCATTCTGCGTTATTACACAGAACATGCTACGCTGTGTGTGCAATGAACGCGTGTGTCTTTTGTGGCACACAGGCATGTAGGTACTATGTGTATGGCACGTGTGAGTAGACTGTGTGCATGTGCTCCATGGCGTGTGTTTCGTGTGATGTGTTCACGCCCTGTGTGCATCCATTAGGATGCAGCGTTCATTTCACGTATGTATGTTCTATATCTGTTGTGTGTGGGTGATACGTGTGTTGTGTTGTAAATGTTTCCTGCAACGGTCATGTGCTTGTGTGCAAACGTGTTTCATGTGTTACACTTGCGGTGTGATCTGCCTGTGTGCAAGGGGCGTTGGTGGTGCACATAGCTAGAGCCACGCCAGGTATGTTTGATGGAGACAAGCGTGTGCGTTTGCATGTATGTTGGGTAGACCACTTCGCTGGCTGCTTCTTCCCTCCACGGTAACAGGTGCGTCTCAGTCTCTGGGACCTGGCCTGTCTCCATGCTGAGCTGTCCCTGGCAGTCAAGACACCTCTTCACCTCAAGGAAAGCGTAGAATTGAGAGCTCTGTCCCAGGGTCCTTGCAGTTACCAGCTCTACAGAAAGGTGGGCAGCGCCCTCTGCTGGTCCCAGCAGCGAGTGCAGCCTGTACAGCCAGCGCTCACCTCTGCCGTCAGACTCCTGGGCCGAGCCTCCCCCGCCTTCCAAAAGGCTCTTGGGTACCCAAGAGTCCCTGAAAAGCCAGGCACAACCCCTATCTTCTATCCAAGGTGGCAGTGTTCTCCTCTCCTCTTCCACTAGGTGGAAAGACAAGAGATGCCGCGGATTAAGCTTCTGTCTGCTATGTGCAGATCTGAGCTTTCCTACCATGGCTGGGAGACCTCTGCCTCTGCCCTCCGACCCACACTCCTCCAGTCTCCCAGCTTCCTGCAAGCTCCTCAGCTCCTAACCCCGACATGTTCTCTCTGACCTTCATCCAGACCTCCACCCCACCCTGGCTTTTGTCTGTCCCCTTGCTAGATCCCAGGTCTCCCCTGGGATCACTGCTGGAGGCCAGTTTGCATAGGGGGCATTCAAGGACGTTACCAATAATGAAAGACTAAAATACAAAAACACTAGAGTGAATGAAACCAGAAGACGGGCTCTGGAGCCAGACCTGACCGTACGTGCCTGGGACTCCAGTGCATAGGAGACAGCCTGTGTCACACAGCGAGGTCTGTCTCAGGACAAATGTCTGCAGATAGAAAGGCAAACTCTACTGAGCTCTTAGTGAGCAGGTCCTATGCAGTAGAGACCCCAGCTGGCGGTTTTTACCTCCTTGATCTCTCCATGGATCGGTTCAGCAGGTTTCATTTTATGAATGAGGAAAGTCAAGGTGTAGAAAGGTGGACAGATTGGTGCTGTGTGACCCAGCAGCCTGTTTGACCCCAAAGTCAAGCTCTTAACTATCACAATAGACTCTGAGTCTGCTAACTGCCGGACCAGACCTGGGCAAATCGCCTGGGCTTCAAGGCATTTCAAGTTTGCCTGTCTTAGAAGCGGCCAGCTCCCACACCCCCGAGAACACACAGGCGGATGCCTACCAGAACACGCAGCTGTGGGCTAACAGGCGCAGCCGGGTTCAGGAGGTCTGGGATGCAGCCCTACTCTCCGCAGCCAGGGGCTACGCCAGCGAGGCCCCCGCACGCACAGGGCTGGTTCACTCACTGTGTGTGTTAAAACACGGACATTTGGACTCTGTGCCCCAGAGGGGGATGTAAACCAGCGCTGGCTACCTGACCCCACCCAAGTGGGGTCCACAGACCTGCAGCATCGGCACTGCAGACTCCGGGGCCCCACTCACTCCAGCGGGGTGAGAAATCTCTGCTTAAACTGTTCCCTGTGGCATTTACACTCTTGTGAAAACATGATGCTTGGGACGTAGCTCAGTGGAAGAGCACTTGCCCAACCCATGCAAGAGCCAAGAATTAATCCCCAGGCCTGGGGGTGGGGCTATGAGGAACTGGAGATAGCTCAGCGGTTAGAGCACACGCTGCTTTTACAGACAGCCTGAGTTTGGTTCCCAGCACCCATGCCATATAAAGCCAGCTGCCTCTAGAGCCAGCTGCAGAGGATCCAGTGCCCTCTTCTGGCCTCTTCAGACACCTGTATGCACACACACACTCACACTTTTTTCTTAGGATAGTTTTTCATTCATCAATAAGCAGATACCAGACTTCTGTTTCAGTTGTGTTTGATAACTCCTCAGTTTAATTCACAACATCTTCTGGCATATACTCATATCATTTGAGCTCACTTTTCTGAAAGTTTGCTGAAGTTATGCGCTTCTGCTTGCTGGCAATTTTTGAAAATGCCGATGGAGGTCTATTTAAATACGCATTCTCAGAGTGTCTGAGCTTAAACTCTAATGTCAAATGGAGGGCTGCTCTGGATGAAGTTGTCACAGTAAGAGCCTAGGGTAGAGAGGCATCAGGCAAGTAGGGGGCACCACTGGGTGCTGGCCGGGCACACACTCCAATTAGACCAGGCTATCCAGGCTTGCCGGGCTCCGAAGCTGACCTGGCCCCATAGGTCAATCTTACTTTACTGTGTTCTATTTTCTTCCACCTTTGCTGGTTCCACTGCTTGGTAATTAGGACAAAGCGAGAGGTTCAATTAGTCTCCGGATGCTCAGCCACACCTCAGACTGTCTGACTCAAATACTTTTATCCTTTTGAATACACACCTAATTTCCACCTACAGTTATTTTAAAGATTGACGTAAGTCAGCTGAAAAGACAGGTGGAGCCTGGAGCTGAGGACTGCTGCCACCCTTGGGCATGGCACTGGTGAGTGAGTTGCTCAATGGCGGTGAGCAGGAGCGGCTAGTGACTCTTCCCCGGAAGGTGTTGCTGTGCCTGAGGCATCACTGGAATGCCAGCTCGGAAGTCAGAGTCGTTGCTGTAACAGGGATCTTCAGTAATAACTTGTTTCTGTGGCTCATAGTTTAATTTTAGCTCCTCAGGTGTTTTTTGTTTGTTTTGTTGTTGTTGTTGTTGTTTTGTTGTTTTGCAAGACAGGGTTTCTCTGTGTAGCCTTTGCTGTCCTAGACTCACTTTGTAGACCAGGCTAGCCTCATACACAGAGATCCACCTGCCTCTGCCTCCCCGAGCGCTGGGATTGCAGCTGTGCGTCACCGCGCCCTGCTCAGCTCCCCAGTTTTTAACTTGATTCTGTTCAGATCTCTCAAACTGCTTTCACCCACACAGTGTATATCATCAAACGTGGCAAAGTCTTCTCTCACAGTCTGCCATGCAGCGTGAGTCCCTGGGGTGCCATGTTTTCTCCTCTAGTTCTGCCCTCAGGAATCTGCACTGTCTATGCCCCGTCTCTCTGAAACACTTTCATCCGCCACTAGTTTCCTGAAAACTGCCTCCACAATGGGTGACCGCCAGCTCTTACTGAAGTACACGGATAACACTGAATTGGATGGCATCCCCTACCATCTTCCAGTATAGACCGTCTACCACTTCCGGTGACCTCGTCAGGGCATACAATTTTTTTTTTTTAATGTGTGAAAAAACTGATGAGTCTTCTACCAGAGCAACAGGATTGGCTGAAACCTGCCTTCTGAGTGAATCTAATGTGTGAGCATCCAAGAACATCAACATGGTGCCCTTAGGTATAAGGACAGAAATGCTCACCTTTGACAGGAGCTGTCCCTGAACTGGCCTGCCCTGAGGACATGAGGGGTGGGCATTGCCAGAAAGCAGGGACATGTGAGAGATTCCCAACCCATTGCCACGGCTTTGGATTTCCTGATACCCCCAGGTACCCCTGCCCAGCTGCTCTGCCATGTCACGTTGCCTGCTAACATCCTGCCGCTGGCAATGACAGCTGTGGCCCAGGCTTCCATGTCACCCAGGAGTTTGCCTGAAATGCAAGACTTCAAGGGCTCATGCTCAGTGTGACAGTGCATTTAACAAGATCCCATTTACTGTGGTGCTCGCTAGCACCAGAGTTCGCTGGGCCAGCCCTCCCTGTGTGTGGCCTTCTCAATGGCTAACCTTCCCTGAACTTCTACAGAGCAAACTCTTCAGATAAACAATCTGGAAGGTTTGTCTGGGCGTTGTCCAGGGAAGGCTGGCCCTGGCAGCTTTAGGACATTTCTTGGGCCTCTGGTCAGGGTTCAGAACCACGACTGTGATTTGGTGACTGTCTGTGTCCCGGAGCAAGGAGCCAGGGTCGGAGATAACAAAGGATCCCACGGGGTCCCTCAGAGAGGGTGCTATGTCCTCAGAGAACATGTGCCCTGGTGAAGATGCCTGATGGCGGTGGCTGCTTCCTCTCAGGCTCTGCCCTTCCCATGTACCTGCGACACCTGAGAATGTCTGGTCCACTTTTC